TTATGTTTAAAAAGCTCAACATATATGGGATCGGGTTGCACGCCGCAACAGGTGGAATAAGGGTGGATTGATATGGTAAAATAAGGGTGAAATTACGATATTGGTATTGATATATGGTGGGATCGGGTTGCGCGCCGCAATAATATGTATGTTTCTATTTCTTGATCTGTGTTGTTTTTTTGATATTTTGTTTGAACTGGTAAAGATCGGTAATTCTGGACGACACTGGTTTATTTTCGGGGCTGTGGTTATCATTTCCGGTTGGCTGTTTAATTTTGCACTGTATTTCAATTATTCTGCCCTTATTATATACTGCGTACGGGTTTTAGTGTAGGTGACGCCCTTAGCCTCGTCACTACTTCGTCGAGGTTAGGCTCGGCACTTACTAGTACATGGGGTTGGTTGTACTGATACTACACTCTGCACACTGTGCAGATTTTGGAGTCGATCCCATCGGCGATTATTAGCGTGCTCGGATTGGACATTGTTGGAGGCTTGAGGTATGGCTGTTCAGCGCCCGCAGCTCCTGGAGTCCCCATCCTTTTTTCTTTTTAGTTGTATAACTTCATTCAGATAGCCTGTACTTATTTCAGACTCTTATGTGTATTAGCTTAGAAGCTCGTGCACTTGTAACTCCAGGTTCAGGGAATTGTAATAGACGTTTGGTTGTTTAACTTCCGCATTTATATCTAGAACATATCTGTTATTTCAATTCTTTATCAATGCTATCACTTAAACTGTTAAAAGACGTAAATTGTTCTAACGTTGGCTTGCCTAGCAAGTGAAATGTTAGGCACCATCACGATCCAGATGGTGGGAATTCAGGGTCGTGACAACTCCTCATCCACAAAGAATACCAACCATCTTCTCGCGACAATGGAATTACAACCAGAAACAAATGTAACAGGTGTAGTAGCATCAATAATAATATTAGCCATGTTATTCTCCATAACATTGTGGAAGTATCCTTCCGATTGTTGGAAAAATTAGTTATGGAGAATAAGAATTAGCTCGAGGCGTGTCAAGGACACTGTCCTTAAGGATATTTCGCTCACACAGTGATAAATAATTTTAGGCGTATCCCCCAGGATTCAAAAAGCTCTTTCAGTTATTAAACTGGGAACATAACTAGCAGAAAACTCAAGAAAGAAACCCAGCATATAGGAGGAAAAGATGATTCAAAAAGTTATATTAGAAAGTGTGTCTTTAGATCTCCAAAGACCATGTTTATATAGGATTTGCTTCAACGGCTACTTAACGGCTTGATTACGGGTAGTTTGACTCTATTAAATGTAAAATAATTTACTAAATAATAAGTAGATGTAAATAATACTTCAAAGAGAAAAGATAGTCCAAACCAAGATTGACATTACCTTTTGAGATATCACTAATTTTCCAACAATACGTTCCTACTTCTTTTGCAAATAATACTCCTCCGGAGAAAATAAATTAAAATAAATGAAGAAAAGAAAGTACAGGCAAATTAAAGAATCTTAGTGTAGATGCAACCTTGGAATATTAGAAATGTGGGACATCCTATGCACTGTACTACTCGTTATATCATACCAGGACATGGGACATAAACTTTCATTCTGATCTATGTAACGACGAATTCTTCTTTTCCCTCACTTTTGTTTTCTTTACAACCTGTTTCCCTTTTGAAAAAGTAGCACTAAAGTGATTTAGACATTTGGACCCAAAAAGATTAAATTACCCCTTCTTTATTATAAAAACCATTACTAATTTCATGGATCCAAGGTAAGGAACAAGAAGTAGCTTACCCTAGATATCAAGTTCTCTTGTCTTCTACAGTATCCATCTCTCCCAATCTTTCAAATTCCTTTCGCAAAATCTTTAGAGAACTAAAAAAACAAGCAAGAAAGAAAATGGCATTAAGTAATAATGTCATAGGGTGCATCAACTTTGTAGCCATGCTATTGTCAATTCCAGTGATTGGTGCTGGAATTTGGCTAGCAATGGAGACTGACAACTCTTGTGTCAAGATTCTACAATGGCCAGTTATTATCTTAGGAGTTGTCATTTTAGTTGTCGCTCTTGCTGGTTTTATTGGAGGGTTTTGGAGGATTCCAGCACTTCTCATTTTCTACCTCATTGCTATGCTCATTCTCATAGTTTTGCTTGCCTGTTTGGTGGTTTTTATTTACATGGTCACTATTAGAGGTTCAGGCCATATGGAACCAAGTAGGGCTTATTTGGAATATCATCTTGATGACTATTCTGGCTGGCTTAGAAGGAGAGTTCAAAGTTCTTACAAATGGGATAGAATAAGAAGTTGCCTTAGCTCCACAACAATGTGTGCTCAGTTGAATCAAAGTTATCGCATGGCTCAAGATTTCTTTAATGCTCCTCTTAGCCCTTTGCAGGTAACTTTTTCTTGCATGAATTCATGCTTTTGTGATTTTTCAAACTCATAGAAAAAGGTAGCACATGAGATTTCTTGTTTTAATATAAAAAGGAAATGGAAAAAAAAAATTCTTATGGAAATTTAATATTTGTTTCACAGTTTTGCTCCCTTAGAATTGATTGAAAAATAAAGTAGGTAGTAGCTCCGTATTCTAAATTTACGCGTGTGCTAAGCAAAGTAGGTATTAATTAGTCATGCTAGTATGTTTATTTTAAGTCCAATATTATTTGCTATGAGGGTTCTATTCTGTTAGTTCAAAATTTATATGCGAGTAGAAAATATGAAAAAAAGAATTATAATGCCATCTAGTAAAATTAATATTCTTTTAATCATATTATGTTCAGAGTTTAGGTGTGGACCTTAATAGCATCAAATTAAAGTAAGGATTCACAAAGTCGGCGCCAAATTGATTTGTGTTGAAGTGTAGTTGAAGTTGTTCGTTTTCCTTGTATTAAGGAAAAATTCTTATAATTAAAGGGAAGCTTTCTTTCCTTAAAAAAAATTTGTTAACTGTGATTATACCTGGAGTGATTCCAACATCAAACAAGTATACATAAAGAATAGACAAGAATTAACAAAAGCAAGCAAGTTTTACTTAAAAGACACAAGAATCTTATTCCATTTCCGTGTGGTAATATGCCTTGGAACTAAATTCCTTTTAGGCATTCTTCACGTATTCTCTCTTTTTGCAGTCAGGGTGCTGTAAGCCACCAACACAATGTGGGTACACATTTGTGAACCCAACATATTGGATTAGCCCTATAAACAATGTTGCAGATATGGATTGCTTGCAATGGAACAATGATCAAACACAACTTTGCTACTCTTGTGATTCTTGCAAAGCTGGATTGTTAGCTAATTTGAAGAAAGAATGGAGGAGGGCAGATATAATTCTGCTCATAACTCTTGTTGGATTGATTTGGGTTTATTTAATTGGGTGCTGTGCTTTTAGAAATGCCAAAACTGATGAAATATTCCGCAAGTACAAGCAAGGTTATGCCGATACTTAAGCTGAATTAATGAAAAGAGACCGATTTAGGGTTTTGAGTCAGTGAATCCAGAATTAACCTGATCATATTTAGTGTATACTATCTAAGGATTTTTTGCATTAGTATACATAATTCAAGTTAAAACAATGAATTCAGTTGAACTCATAAAACTCGCCTTAAATTCAGTCTATATTGATGGGCAAGCGGGTTATTTAAGTTTGATGTATTAGAAGAATAGCACCCTATCATTCCAGGGTAGGGGTAAGGCTGCGTACATCCTATCCTTTTCAGACCCCACTTGATGGAATTATACTGGGTAGTTGTTGTTGTTGTTGTATTGGAAAGAGCTAGTGAAATATGTGAAACTTCTGTTGGGTGATTTTAGTTCTGTATTGAGTTTGTAAAACGTGACAAGACTGGATATTGGGACTCACTAATTAAGATTTTTCATGTTGTGAAAATTGAAGTTTAAAAAAAAAAATTAAATACTTTTCCCATATATGTTAAATTTTCTTTCCACCTAAAGGCATTGGGATTGATGCCTTGACTATTTGGTCTGTGAAAATTGACTTTGATGGCGCTGAGAGAAATGATGAATCACGAATTACGAACAAGAACAGCTTAACATCATTTACGGAAGGCGCCGAAAGTTGATATTTTCAACTTCTTCGAGAAAAAAAAGTCCATTGAAAAGGGAATATAGAGAGCCTGTGTGGGGCACTCTCTTGTTAATTCCAGCAATCTGAGAATGTTGCTCCACATTACTACTCTATATTACTACTGGAATAAGACTTAAGCTAGGGTGAATCTTCTATATGCACAGCAAATGGCAGTAAATTTGCACATGGTAGACAATTAGAATTTTGTTCAATTTAAACCCATAACAAATTTTGATTTAATTATAAAATTTTATGAGCTGTTATGATAGGGTCAATTATTTAAGGGCGAAATGCATTAGAAGCCACTTTTAAGACTGTTTTTAAAATAAATTCACAATTTATTATATCTTTAAAGATTAGTGAATTCGCCTGATCGAGTATTCCGAATTTTTGTATTCTAAATTTTTGAGCTGCTAATTTGGAATACAGGGCTTGGTATCCTAAATTTTGGAGCTGTTAATTTGAAATGCAGGACTAAGTGGCTTCAATTTCTGAACTACCAATTTAAAATTCATGATAAAATTTTTTAATTTCTACATTTAATATTCGAACTGTAGGACACAATATCCTGAAGTTTGAGCGAATTGGCTAATCTTTAAATACATTGTAAACTATGGATATATTTTGAACAACATACTTAAAAGTGACATCTGGTATCACTTTACATTATTTTAAATTGATTTAATTAAAGTCCAATACTATTGGGCCAGCTCAGTAATTGGCCTTCTATTAGATGGATCAATTCATGAGCCTCCAACTGAATGTTCCAGGAGAGTTTTCTTGGAGATTACTCTACCTCATGCTTATATAAAAGGGTCACAACTCACCTGTCAAAAGGAAAAGAAGGAATCAAAAGGCCAAAAATACATCAAACAAGCGGAAGGAATTAAACTAAAGAAACTCTGAAGAACAGCATCAAGGTCTTCCTTTATTCTTCATCTACGGTCAAATCCCAAAGGCAAAATGAAGTCAAATCTCAGGCGGGCTGCTTCAAATCTTCCATTCGTCATATCTCAAATCATGGTTCATAACGATTACTAAATCGTTCTTGACGTATTACAAATTCAAAATTTACCAAGTTCAGGATCAAGCTCTCGAGCCCTAAAACCGATATTCGTAAGGAGAAGAATCAGAGGATTGCATCAATACAGATTCAAAATATCCTAGAGATTGTAACCCGCATCACTTATGAAATCATATATTATATTTGTCGATATTCTCTTCGGATAAGAAATATGATGTTATAAATTTTTGGCACGCCCAATGGGATATCTCCAACTCTCATCTCTTTTCTTCAAAGCACAATAACACCACGATAATCGCAATATAGATCAACTCTAGATCTGACTCCAAAAGCAAATTGATTGTTCCCACGGAAATGCTAAGACAACAAGAACTTGAAGTGTCGTCAACAACTCATGTTTTCAGTTCATCTTCTCCAAAAGAAGGGAGATCCTCTTTGTACATCCCAGAAAAGGGGAACAACATCTCTGAGGTGGTCGAATAAACTTTGGCTCAATTTATCCTGTCATAAGAACACCATTGCCAGTCTAGCAAGCCCTTCATGCAAAAAAGATGATAACGTCTTGAGCATCAGATTTTATCCAATCTCTTATCGTGTCACTCTATATACGATCTCTATCAAAGGGATGACTTATGCCATTCTTAAGAAGTTTGTTGGATGTCTCAGAGGAAATGCTTTCAATTGGTGCATAGATCCTGAACCTGATTCTATCGACAATTGGGAGCAATTGGAGCAAGAATTCCTCAATCGGTTCTATAGCATGAGGTGCACTTTGGGCATGATTGAACTTATAAATGCCCGCCAACGGAAGGAGGATTACAGTCATTGACTTCATCAATTGTTGGAGAAGCTTAAGCCTCAATTACAAAGGTCGTCTTAGCGAAACTTCTGGCATCTAAATGTGCATCTAAGGTATGCATTGGGGCCTTTGTTATATACTACAAGGAATAAAGCCTATAACATTTGAAGAGCTGGCCACCTGTGCACATGATATGAAATTGAGCATGGCTACAATTAGAGATCAAGGGTTGTTCGTATTTGAGCCTCATAATGAGAAGAAAGTAGACAATGTCGATAATGGGAGCAAGTTTTCATCTAAAAACTGAAAGCGAAGAGTATCTGCATGTCACTTAACTCCTCGGTACACGAGCCTAAACTGTAAGTCCTGACGCTCCTCTGTGCATGATCCTAAACTACAAGTTTCTATGTTCTTCAATCCACGAGCCTAAACTCCATGTTGATGCTCCTTGACGCATGAGCCTAAACTGCTTGTCATATAGTTACTCAAGTTCGAGCTAAATGTTCAAGTTATAACGCTCCTTGAATCACGAGAAACTACATGTCATGAGGCTCTTCAAATTCGAGTTAAATCTTTAAAGTTTCAAAGCTCTTCAAATTTGAGAATCCACTTCAAGTCACAGAGTTTGTCATGTTCAAGCCAGATCTTCAAGTTAAATTTCCTCAAAACACGAGCTTAAAATGCAAGTTTCTAAGCTCCTTATTGCATGAGCCTAAACTGCATGTTATGAAACTATTAAAATTCAAGCTAAATCTTCAAATTGAAAGCTCTTCAAATTGGAGCGAAGTATTCAAGTTGCAAAGTTCTTTAAATTTGAGCAAAGTCTTCAAGATTAAAAAAACTCCTCAAATTCAAACAAAATATTCAAGAATTAAAACTCCTCAAATAATCGAAGTCTTCAAGATATGAAGCACTTAAAATTTAAGCAAATTCAAGTTGCACAACCCTCAAATTTGGGCAAGGTCATCAAGCTATAAAACTCTTCAAATTTAAGCAAAGTCTTCAAGTTGTAAGGCTCCTTTACGCACGAGCATAAATTGTATGTTACTTTATCCAGCATGAGTACAAACAATGTATAGCACAAAAAAAGAGTCTGCTAGAGTGAACAACTTAAACTAAGCGGCCTAGGCAATTATTAGGATATAAACTAACAAAATAAACTTATTTTTTGCCCTACGTTATTTATTCATCTTCACCGAGGTATTGAGACAGTTTAAAGTTTTAGTTTAAGTTCAGTTACATAAGTTAATAAAGAAGGGTTACGTCATAACGTAGTCATCAAAATTTAAGTTGACAGCATCACGTTGATTTCTTTGAATAAGCATACATTGCAAAAAAGTAAGGAGGAAATTTGTGTTAAACTGAAAAAAGCATTTCATTGATTTAATATTACAAGGGTTTAATACATCAATTTCAAAAGAGAAATATCACGACCCAAAATTCCAACCAAGGGGTCGTGATGACGTGTAATGCTGCTTGCTAAGCAAGTCAACACTCCAACAATAATAAAAGATATAAAACTAATATTAAACAACATAATATCATAAATAATAGAAAAAGCTCAGAAATTAAACAACAAGTCTCAACCAATTCAACTGTCTAACAACCTCCCAAGACTGATGTCACTGAGTACATGAGCTTCTAAAGTGTACTAAATACTACCTTGAGTCTCCTGTCTGGTAATGGCTAAGCACCTCTCGGGATTCTGCTGGTACCAATATTTGAATCTGCACAAGAAGTGTAGAAGTGTAATATGAGCAAACTGACCTCATGAACTCAGTAACTATTGAGCCTAACCTCGACGAGATAGTGATGAGGATAAAACACTTACCATAATAACAGGAATAAAGACATAAAATAATTAAAGGACCCAATAATAGATGTGAAAACCATGTTTCTCAAATAAAATAACCAAACCTTTCTCAACGTCTCAAATCAACAGGGATAAAACAATATTCGTGAAAAATAAAGTCAAACCCACAAGGAAGAAAATATCACAACGAACACCAGAACTCATAAGTATGTGTTATAGCGCACAACCCGATCCAATACAAAATTGTTGCCGCGACAACCCGATCCCCTGGGCATATTGTTGTGGAAACCCGATCCAACATCCCAATTCACATGGAAACACACAACAAGGAACCAAGCATGGCAAAATTCATAATATAATACAAAAAGGACGAATAACCATATGTCATTAAGGACAAGATGAATATGAGCAAGGTCTATTAGACAATCCAATATCCAAGAACTAATCTCCCTCATATAACTCAACAAGATCTCAAACAAGGTCATTATTACGTGAATAATCAAGTAGTCACACCTGAATAAAACTATGGACCAATTCCCACACAGAGTTATTATATATCCTTAGTTGAGTTGTAACTTTATAATAGTCTTAAACTGAATTTCCTATCTCGCTTGTTTAAGAAGCATTCTGTAGGAAAGCCTTGTAAACCTTAAACCTATGTGTTTATGTCTTGGCTAGAGTTAGTCATGTTTCAAAATATTTATAATAGAGTTATTGCAAAGTGGCTTGTAATAGGTGTGTTACATGTTAGTGAGGGATTAAGAGTTTAATTCCTAGGTTGCATAGGTTGTAATCTAAAAGTTGCTTAGTAGTGAAGTTGAAATCCTACAAGGGTAGGTCGTGGTTTTTAACTCCGTTGAGCTGGGAATTTTGCACATAAAATTCCTCTTTTCATTTACTTACTGTCGTGCGTGTGTGTGCGTGTACTGTTGAATCTGATAGACAACCTGGTTCTCTATAGAGTTTGGTCGACCCTTATATTCAAAATCAATTGGTATCAGAGCGGGTTCTTTCTATCAAGTTAACACCTAGAAAGGATCCTCATGGCTGCACCTCCAAACTTCTAAGAAGGCCAGTCTACTTACACACCTCCAAGGTTCAACGGGCAATATTATAGATGGTGGAAAACAAGGGTGCATGACTTCATCAT